CCACTTTTTTAGAGGGTAAATTCTGCCAGTATGAACCTTGCAAGGACTAGTTTAGTAAAACAAATCTTCCGAAGTTTGCGCGTTAAGGAGGTGTAGGAAAACTTCATGTATACGCGGGAGAAAATTCGACTACGAGTTTCAAATTTTCTGAGATATTTTGGATTATCGTACTATTAAATGGGAAAAAAATAATGCAGGAATCTCGTAAGAGAAATGGAAGACTCCAGAAACTTGTTGCAAGTTTCAGATCAAGGGGTATGCCGATATAGATCTTTTCATTCTTCTAGAAAATTTTCAACGAGAAATTTTCTAAAACCTTCTGCTGTTTAACCAACTTTTCAGTGCTAGCAACTTGTACACAATCACATGTCGTTCTGCTTGATCCAACATTTGGTACAATTCGACCACGGGCTCCATCTCGATGTCATCAGCATAGAGTGCATTCAGTTTATGTGGAAAACAGTGCAGTTTGCATGGTTTGTGCCAAAAATAGGCATAAATTCAAAAGGCACCAAAAATCTTATTTTCAGAATCAGTCACAAACTCTTGTAGTCGACATCGTCCCAAATTCTCCTAACACTGAGCCAAATGAGCTAGTAATTGTTTCGTGCGCCACAAATGAGAAGGAAGTAATCCATGAGAGGTGAAGTGCCAAAACTGCTCAGACACTCACCGGAACTGTCGCAGGACAAGTAGAACAGCGCAAATGCTGCGAATGTGCCGCGGAAGTTCCGCCCAGTTGTCTGAGTTTATCTCATTCTTATTTTTTTTGCTTCAGGCTTTCCCCAAACCATCTAAATAGCATGGACATCCAAATTTCCCTAGCCTCGGAAGGTTTTCTCAACGTCGACATCATGGAAAGGAATGTGCTTCTTGTAGCCGCTCGCTATGCTGTCCCAACTCTATGTCAGATCGTTTCAGAAAACAACAACGATATAAAAATAATCCAACTTACTGATGAGGTAAGGCACCGTACTACAGTATGCTACAGCAACCCAATCACCATGTTGTCAGAGTGGCTGTACATCCACATCTGCTATCACGCCATTTTTGAGAAAATTAGCTGAACGAGGGACAATCTACACGGCTAAGTTGAACTCGTCTGTTTTTAGCGGGTTGAATGAACCTCAGCTGCAATGCTCAGTAGTGGCTTGTGGAGATTTATGCATTCAGGTTGGTAATTCGAAAAAATTTTCTCAATGTTTTGAGTTCTTTCCTCGTTTCTAAAATTTTTTGTAACGCTCATACTGAACCAATACTCAACTATAATATTCAATACACATTTTTGAGTCTGAGATAATAATTTTAACGATTTTAACGCTGCTGTGCATATCATATTTACGTCCACATCAACTTGAGTAGCTGAACGACTTCTGATATCCTTAATTGAAGGGCCTCGACCAAACTATTGCCCACACGGAAACTCTGATGCACCTATGACGGAAAAAAGACTCTACCCTTGCCCAGTACCTATTCAAGCCCCAAAATAGTACGGTACGGGCAAGAGTTCAAAA